CAAGTTGGAGCAATTTTTTGCTGTCGTAATTAGGGACATTTGCTCTACGATCATGATTAGCAAATAAGACATCATCTGTAACATGAGTTAACATTTATTCATAAAAAACGAGAACTGATGAAAAGAACTAAAACAACAAAACTTAAATTAAACTGCATTTCTTTAAAATTTTTTGATATACTATTGTTTTATTGAAGATCGTAAAATGTTGAGTAGGTTTGAAATGGCCAGTTATTAGTTCTCATGGTTATGTTTATATGAATTTATTTACTCGTTGTGCATAGTAACACAATTTTTTGTTGTTTTAATTTCTTTTAATCAGTTATTGTTGGTTAGGAATCAAAATGTGTATCAGTCAAATGAATAAAAAACTTAGAAATATATGAATAAGTAGTATGCCGCGATATCACAAGTGTATTGATATTATCTGTATCATTTTACATTTAAAACTTTTACTACATTTTTTCAATACTCTGTGTAGAAAATAGCAATGCAATGTTACTATTTGTTCACTGTTGGCAATTTCTTTATCAATTCTGATATGAGCTTACTAAGGAGTGTTAATAAAAAATATATTATAACTAGACCGTTTCTCAGTTACCGAAAACGTAATTTTTTAGTTATGTACTTGTAATACAAATTTATGTGAGTTAAAAAAATATAATGATCAAATTAAGCAATGATGATATCATCTTTCTTTATTCAAACAAATACATCAAGCATACGATTCAATTATCGTGTTTTTTTTTACTTTTGAATTACGAAAGTAAGAACGGTTCATGTCTTCAATATCTCCACCAGTTTTAGCTAAGAAACTATGAGCGATTCTTCTCATTATTTGCCAACTAATTATATGCAAACATGTTTGTATAGAACAGAAGTTTTTTTTGTTGTTGTCATTTTCACATACGTTGACGTTGTGTAAGCTTGAAATATGAAAAAACAAAACAGAATTTGAATATGATTTCTTTCTGAATCGTAGAAATTATTAAAAGAAGAGTAGTTAATATAACACAAGAAAACAAAATTTCTTTTTATTATACATATAATACGAATGAATAAAAATCAAAAATTACTCTAGCAAGATTGCGAGTGGCGATCTATTCATTCTACACATGACAAAACTTAAGTTTTTGGGTGTTTCTAGATGCAATTTCGATAATAACTGATATAAAACTTTTGCTTGTTTATTGTTATACTAATATATAAAACCTACATTTAAATGTTCCATTCATTTTAAATTGGTGATAATTACTTCGATGTTTCATAATTTTCAAATTTCAATAACAGTATATTTGACCAGTAGAAATCGTTATTTAACTATTGCCTCAATTAAAATTGAAATTATATTTTTTCTTCTTTCGTTTACATTATTGGCATGTCAATCATATGCATAATGAGAAAAAAAAATCACACTAACGCTGTCCCTGCTGTCGTTTTCGTTCTTGTTGGAGAGAATGAAACAAAATTATACAACGTATAAGACAAGATATCAAATGCAATGAAACTCAAGTCACGCTTCATATAACACGTAAATGAAAGTGGAAAAAAATATCATACGATCAGTGATGTTGTGGGTTTTTTCCCTTTAATTTGTTTTTGATAAGCATACCTTCAATTACTAATAGGCATATTTTGTTATTGAGTGCCAACGAAAAAACACAATATTCATATTTGACGTCAGAGAAAAATCTAGAAAAAAAACAACGTGCATCAAATGTATAAATACAAAAGGTAAACTCTGTCCAAACAGCCATCTACTATTTACGATACGCAACTACCTATCGCACACCAAATATCACATCAAAAATGAGTCAACAACCAAGACGACGCCTTCCTGAAAACTACATGGTTATTTGGGTTGATGGAAATATGGATATGACCAATAAAGATTGCCACAACACACTTGCGCAATTGCGCGGTGTTGTAAATCAAGTCATACCTTGTACGACAGCTGAAGAATGTGTTCAACAGCTGAATGAAAATCCTGAAGAGATATCATTTGTTATCTCCTCAGGTGCACTTGGACAACATCTGGTACCAAGCATCCATGGCATGGCGAAATTAAACGCCATATTCATATTTTGTCGTAAGAAAGAAAAGCATCAAGTATGGGCCCAAAATTGGCCAAAAATCAAAGGTGTTCACACAACAATCAAACATATTTGTGAAAAATTGGCCATAGCAATCAAACAATGCAATCAAGATCATATATCGGTGAGCATTGTTAGTGTGAATGCACGAGGTTCTAGTAAGACTCTGGATCAACTAGAACCTTCATTCATGTATTCCCAAATATTCAAGGAAATACTCCTTGACATAGCACATTGTCATCAAGACTTTGAAGACTTGATCACATTTTGCCGAAACGAATACAAAGACAATACCCACGAGATGAAGAATATTGCAGATTTTGAAAATACTTATCACGCAACAAAAGCCCTTTGGTGGTATACACGCCAATGTTTTACCTACAAAATGCTCAATGGCGCGTTAAGAACTCTCAATGGCGACATTATGATACGAATGGGTTTCTTTTTATGTGATGTGCATCGACAAATCGAAGCTCTGTACAAGAAGCAGGTCAGTGACTATCGTGGCAAGACTTTCACAGTCTTTCGAGGACAAGGCCTGTCGAAAGCAGATTTTAAAAAGCTCGAAGAAAACAAAGGTGGGCTTATTTCTTTTAACAACTTTTTATCAACCAGTACAGATCGTGATGTTTCTCTCCTTTACGCCGAAAGTAACCTAGCAGCAACCGATACAGTGGGTATTCTTTTTAAACTCACGAGCGATCTCACGGTCTCATCGGCTCCATTCGCCTCCATTCGAGAGAAAAGTTACTTCAAGGATGAAGAAGAAATTCTCTTCTCCATGCACACCGTCTTTCGCATTGGTGAAGTGCGAAAAATTGACAACAATCATGCACTCTATCAAGTGGACCTTAAGCTTACCTCAGATGATGATCCACAACTTCGAGAATTAACTGACTATAATCGAGAAGAAGTCCACGGTACCGGTTGGTCTGGAATGGGTAAATTGTTACTCAAAATAGGTCAATCCAACAAGGCCGAAGAACTATATATGGCACTACTGGAACAAGCATCGAACGATAGTGATAGAGCATACATCTATCATCAGCTTGGAGTGATGAAACAAGACCAACGACAACACGAAGAAGCACTTGAATTTTACGAAAAATCACTTGAAATAAGCAAAAAAGCTCTGCCTTCGAATCATCCCTCATTGGCTACTTCGTACAGCAACATCGGTGGAGTGTACAGCGGCATAGGTAACTACTCGAAAGCACTTGAATTTCACGAAAAATCACATAAAGTCTTCGAAAACGTTCTCCCCTCCAATCATCCCTCATTGGCTATTTCGTACAGCAACATCGGTGGAGTGCACAGCGACATGGGTGACTACTTAAAAGCACTTGAATTCTACGAAAAATCACTTGAAATAAGAAAAAAAGCTCTGCCTTCGAATCATCCTGATTTGGCTACTTCATACGGCACAATCGGTCAAGTGTATAAAAACATGGGTGACTACTCGAAAGCACTTGAATTTTACGAAAAATCACTTGAAATAAGAAAAAAAGCTCTCCCTTCGAATCATCCTGATTTGGCTACTTCATACAGCAACATCGGTGGAGTGTACAGCGACATGGGTGACTACTCGAAAGCACTTGAATTTTACGAAAAATCACTTGAAATAAGAAAAAAAGCTCTGCCTTCGAATCATCCCTCATTGGCTACTTCATACGGCACAATCGGTGGAGTGTACAGCGACATGGGTGACTACTCGAAAGCACTTGAGTTTTACGAAAAATCACTTGAAATAAGAAAAAAAGCTCTGCCTTCAAATCATCCTGCTTTAGCTACTTCATACAGCAACATCGGTGGAGTGTACAGCGACATGGCTGACTACTCGAAAGCACTTGAGTTTTACGAAAAATCACTTGAAATAAGAAAAAAAGCTCTCCCTTCGAATCATCCCTCATTGGCTGCTTCGTACAACAACATCGGTCTGGTGCATAATAACATGGGCGATTACTCGAAAGCACTTCAATTTTACGAAAAATCACATAAAATCTACGAAAAAGCTCTGCCTTCGAATCATCCTCATTTGGCTGGAAGTCACGTGAATTTTGCAGGATGCTACGAAAAAATGGGTGATTACACAGCAGCTCTTAAAGCCCTTAAAAATGCTTATCAAATTCAGGAAAAAGCTTTTGAAGAAGGTAATCCAGCTTTTGCTTCAACATATAGCTGGTTTGGAAGAGTTTATCGCAGTATGAAAAATTATCCAAAAGCACTTGAGAATTTCGAAAAATGTTTCTCAATACGTCAAAAAGCTTTATCTGAAAATCATCCGTATCTAGCTATTACATATAGTAATATTGGTGATGTTCATCGATTAATGGGTGATTATGAGAAGGC